GGCGATGGAGAGTGGCCTGTGGTTGTCGTCGGCAACAGAGAGCGGCCTGTGGTTGTCGTCGGCAACAGAGAGCGGCCTGTGGTTATCGTTGGCAACAGAGAGCGGCCTTTGGTTGTCTTTGGCGGTCAAGGAGAGTGGCCTGTTGTTGTCATTGGCGACGGAGAACGGCCCGGTGCCTCCGCTCGACGGAATGACCGTTGGCTGAGACTCGTGAGCTGACGAGCATATATGCGCGGTGCTGCCACCTAGCGGTGACCCCTCCCTCGGGGATGCTCGCCGAATTGTCGAGGCGCGACCCACCAGCTTCGCTTCGCTCGTCTCCTTCTCGCTGTCCGCGCGCTGGTTTGTCGGCAATGACACATTGTCGTCGTTGGTCTTCCTCGGGGCGGATAGTGGTTCCCCGGACGTGTGCTCTCCCATGCGCTTTCCGGACAGAACCCTTTCTAGCCGCTTTCCAGCCACGTCTCTTTCCATACGCTTTCCGGCAACATCACTTTCTATTCGCTTTCCAGCCATGTCCCTCTCCATCCACTTTCCGACAACATCACTTTCTAGACACTTTCCAGCCATGTCCGTTTCCATCAACTTTCCTGTTACGTTACTTTTGGGGCACTCTCCAGCTATGTCAATCATGGGTTGCATTCCGGCAGTGTTGCTTTCCATGGAGTCACAGGCGGTGCCACCTTCCAGCCGCTCCTCACGGGGGAATGCGTTTGCATGATGACTATCAGAGACACGCAAATGACCTACTGGGTCAGGTGAAACAACTCTGCGCATCGTTACGTCGGCTGGCCGAGCAACATGAAGCGTCGTCAACATAGCGGGAGGAGGGGAGAGGGAGAGAGGGCTGGAAAACAGATCCTCTTCCGTATCCGGGACTTTTTCGACCGGTTGATGTTCACCTGAAAGGCGCAAAGGCAAAAAAAGTGGTAGCGAAAAACATAAAAAGTGGTCGAGCGAATGTTACGTATTATTAATCGATTTTAAAATGAATATATGGTAGAGAATTGAACTAGGAGACTAGGCACATTACGGGGTGCAGGACAGCCTGTAAGCATCACTCGAGGTGGATGGATTCCCACTGTTCATGCATTAATACAAGATCTTTATCATAATCAATAGAAGGATGTGAGCATCGAAACATGCAGCAGAGGAAAATTCATGTGACGGGACTCCACTCTGACACACCACACTGAACACAAACGAGGCGCACATGTGGTAACACACAAACTTATGAAATGCACACGATAACCCTGCCACCAACCTCCATAGTCTGACCCTGCAACGTTGGCTGCAGTCGCCGTGGCAGTCGGCGTGGAGACACGATTGTGCTGCTGCAGCAGTTGCTCCTGTAGCATCTTCATTCTCTGCTGCAGCTGCCATATTTCACTCTCCAACGTTTCCTTTTGCTGAAGAGAGGATACGCATTGTCGCATATATACGCATATACTTACCACAGCTTTACGTTTACAATAGTGATTCTAAATTAAATGAAACACGTGTGAGTGAAATGTAAATTTAAATTTGAATAATTAAATTTTTTTTTTACGTGTAAACGATTTAAAAAACATTAACTACATGCATAAACAAAAGATATATATTTATGATTTGCATAAATAACTTTGCCGATCGGGAAGGTCCTGCTTGTGAAAACCCAGTTATCACAGTGAAAGGTTGCGAGTTGCTAACCTGTGAATCGATGAGCTCGCTTTGTGAGGAGAAGGACGTACACGAGGTGAGATTCACATGGCTCGTCTGCATGCAGCTCTTCTCATCTGTCACATGTGCAAACATAAATTTGAAACACGTGAGCGAAAACGCCAGCAAGACCGTCATCGAGACTTGTCAGCATGCAGGGCAATATACTTAATATCAGGGGTGAATAATCACAAATTTCTCAAATAAATTGTCAAATAATGACAAATTTGTCATTATTCACCCCTGTTAATATTATATCCTAACATTGATCTTAAAATATCAGTACCTATTTAATAAATAATACGTAAAAAATGAAAAATAAAATAAATATTTAAATATTAATAGCAAAGATGCGCGCACTCCCACTGAAACCAAGCACCAAAGAAGGATGCACGCACCACAACAGCCAGCACCAAGCACCACAGGGGCTTTGACACCACCACAGGGGCTTTGACACCACCACAGGGGCTTTGACACCACCACAGGGGGTTGTGTCACATTGAGAGACACAACATCTAATTTTAAACTCCACGAAACAATGATGCACACGCACAACTAGAGCTCTCTGCTTATCAAACCTTTCAGAGATGAGCATTCCACGCTCCCACGACGCTTCGTACTTAGCATGCTACATACCTGCTAGTGTCTCTTGGCCGATGTCACCAGTAAATGGAGCCAGCAGTACATTCGTACTCTCCTGTGTACTGTCATCCACGCAATGCCTCAGCATTGCGTCAGACGATGAACGNACCTCCGTGTCTTTCCCGACCACTGAGCGATCGTGTCGCCCCAGCATCCGAGTTAACGGTACCTCCGTGTCTTTCCCGACCACTGAGCGATCGTGTCGCCCCAGCATCCGAGTTAACCGTACCTTCGTGTCTTTCCCGACCACTGAGCAACCGTGTCGTCCCAGCATCCGAGTTAACGATACCTCCGTGTCTTTCCCGACCACTGAGCAGCCGTGTCGCCCCAGCGTCAAAGTTAACCGTACTTCTGTGTC